GTGTGTGTGTGTGTGTGTGTGTGTGTGTGTGTGTGTGTGTGTGTGTGGCAGCAGCAGATGAATGTGTGGACAGAGGTTGGATCGCCTCTGTGTGTCACTTTCAGCGATCCATCTCTGCTGAATAACAAACTTTCACTACACACTTTTTTTCAGCTTTATAATCTCAGTGAGAGGATGTTTATGGAACCATCAATATGAATCTAACATAATAAGAATAATAACCAGTGTCCAACATAATACATAGAAGCAAGTCATCTTTTGCTTTTGACTATCAGCTGTCATTATTTTTGACGTATCCTACAACAGTTTGTCAGCAACATGCATGCAGTCTTTTCAAAATAAACTTAACCGTCTTCACAGTTCATGAAAGGTAAATGTTACAATTACCTTTGATGAACTGACAACAGTGTGAAAGGTTAAAAGTTCTAAGATGAAAACACGGACAACTCCCAGAACCGACAACACTGTTGTAAGGACCTGTCAATCACAACGTAGCCCCGCCCTAAAGCATCCCCTGCTTTATGGTCTATTTGACTCTAAATGGACTATAATTTACTAAATGAACATCGTGCTGTATTGAAGAAGACTTGAAACTAGAGATTGAGACCATAAACTCATGTTTACTGAGGTAATAAATCAAGAGAGAAGTAGAGTCATTTTCTCATAGACTTCTATACAATTGACCCTTCGCAAAGCTGGCCAATCATGGGGCTCGGCTGAGCTCTGTAGACGCTCACGCAGTTTTGTGGATTTATGGCTAGTCGTGGTTAAGAGTTGTGTAATAGTGGTACTTGTAGAGGTTGTCAGGATATATATATATATATATATATTTGCAGCTATTTTGCCACAGTTTGACATTCCTGTTAAGTTTTTCACCAAGTAGTAGATGTCGTTGCTTAATGAACAGCTGTTCAGACTTGGTTGCTTGTAGTTGCAGTCTCTAAACGATAAGACGTGAAGGCATGAACACATCTGATAAGTGTCCAATGATTATTCACATTTTAGATCAGCCCCTGGAGGAAGTTTCTATTAAATGTTCAATATGTTCAGCTAGTTTAAGACGGATTTAAGGATTGGAAAACAAACTTGGGGTTACAGTTGGTGAAGATGTGTTCTCAGATCAAATCTTCATCACATCCTTGTTTTCTAAGACAAATAAGTGATTAGTTATTAATGTAACAGTACTGATAATCACTTGAGTTTCTTTCACAACATCCCAAAAAGGCTCGACCTGTTACAGGCACTCTTTGAAGAGTTTGAATTGATGTAATAACGGTGTCTTCAACTGTATAATTTGGCCCTTTCAGCGCCATTTGTTGCTATTAAAAAGGGTTTTGAGTACCGTAGGTAGCAAAGTGGCTGCTTTCATTAATGTCGGGTATTGATTCCTCATCTGACAAAAAAAAGCCCTTTTAAAGCTTTCTGGAGCAAGAAAAACAACACGAAGAAATGCGTTTTAAAATGTCAATTGCAATTAAAACCGATAAACCTAATATTGTGGAGGGCTTTTAAGTGGTGGTGTGCATGTTTAAAGGGTAAACATCACCCTTCTTTGATGCCAGTTTTATGGCGATAATGACAGACAAGATAAAGAATAGGTAACTGAAGAGTTTCAAATGTTGGTATTTATTTCTTTTAATTCGCATGTAGTCAGTGATTTATCAGATTATTGCCAACAGTGTTGACAGGCGTGAAGTCTGCAGGACGCAGTTCTACTTGGAGCTTTTTAGTAAAGGTGCAGTGTTGCGACATGAAGCGTGTCTTTGACGGAGAAGAAGGAGGCGGTGCTGTATGGACATTATGGCAAAGCATTGAGTCACAAGTAACACCCAGAACCTGTCCGCCCTAAAGAGAAACATCTATTGGCGCAAGTGCAGGGAAACCACACGGCTACACCGCCACTGCCTCCTCTTGCTCAAACGAAGACATTATTTTAGTTGCTGCACCTTATTAAAATAACTACTGAGCTCCAGATGCTCAGCGCTCCACATCCTACCTCAGTCTTTGTGTCTGAGGAAGGCAGTTTGAGCTCCAAGGTGACTGCTGCACAGAGATACACTCTTCATTGTTCTACTGTCAACAGGCAGTATGTAATGTAATGGATTATACTTTCACAAACCTGAATAAATAAATAAATAAAGTAGCTCAGTATGGTGCGGTGGAATGTTACGGAGTACTCTGCTGATGTATACATTTCAGGTATTTACTCTTTATTTGAGTATCTCCATTTCCTGCTATATTTCGATAGACAGTAGAAGCATAAAGTTCTTATATTACTGTGTGTAGTTATTTCTAAGAGTGTTCCAATCAGGTTCTACTTGGAACCCTTTTGCTTCTGAAGAACCTTTTTTTTTTTTTTTTTTTGAAGAAAAGGGGTTTTTAATGGTTATTTGTAAGACCAAGGGGTCCGTTAAGAACCCTTTTTTGAAGAGGGAGTTCCACAAGGATTGTTCAAAGCAAGGGTGTTAAAAGGCAACGCCCACAACAGAACCCCCCCCCCCTCCTCCCAAAAAAAACAGTGTGTGAACCATGATTGTTGTGGGTTGCGCAGCACCACATCAGATCTGTCCCTTCAAGGTTCGAGATGAAACCCTTGGAATATAAAAGGTTTCTCAGTTGAACCAACCACCTGGCTGGATTCTAGATGAAACGCTTGGAATATATACGGGTTTGAGGTAGAACCCCTTATGGTGGATTCTTGAAAGCACCCTGAGAGGGTGGAAATGTTCTGGATAGTTATGGGTGGAACCATTACATCCTAGAAGTGTTCTCTGTAGAACTTCTCAGAGAAGGCTTTCTCAGAGGGTTCTTGATATAACCTTGTTTGTGTTTGGTAGAACTCTCCAGGAACCAAATAGGGTTCTCTTATGAGGACAAGCTGAAGAACCCTATATGGTTCTAGCTGGCACCTTTTTTATTTTCTTATATTGTTAGATTGTACTTTTTAACTCTGTTTATTTGACCGCTATAGTTACGATGTAGATGAGGACACATACAAATGATATGGAGGACCGCAGCTGTAGTTGAGGACACTGAGGTCACGTCCCTGGTAGTCCCTGTGGGGAGCCAGTTTATATTCTACAGTTACAAATGTACACTATGTTGTAGATTAAACTGAATAGATTCAAATTTGACCAATGTAATGAAAAGGATTCAGATTATTGCCACTATCATTTCAATATGAGGCTTTGAAACATCATCTTGACTTTAAAATTGACAATGAACATGACTGGATAGGAGACTGAATAAGTCAAATCCAGTGTTCTAGACCAGAGTGTATCAAGACCAAGACTTTGAGGGGTTGGACCAGATCAAGACCAGGCAGGGTGAGACCGAGTCCCACGCTGAAGGACTCATGCAAATCAGAGGCAGTCCTCAAATAAATCTGATAGATCCACGTTCCCATAAAACACCCACAGAAAACCAATGAAGATTCTTCTTTCTCCTCTTTAAATGCCACACATACTATGTGGGTATAAGTGTACCATGAGAAATGTCTTGATGAATAATTAAAGGGCATTGCAGAGGTGAAGTTAATGTGTGGACATTTTCCTTTTTGTTTTCTATGAGCAAACGAATGAATGTAGACTATGCACAGGCACCCGAGTCGTCTTTCTCTGAGACCGAGACAAAAATGTGGCCGACCAAGATCTGGAGTTCTGCGGCGCTGGTCAACTCCATATAATTACAGGATGTTAGAGACTTAACAGCCGGTGATGGAGGGGAGACGCTATGGCCCTATTATTAAATAGAATAAATACGACTGTTATGATGAAACTATGTAACAACAGCTACATAATGTGAAGAAGTAGCTCCACACACTGCTTAATGAAATGCATAATGGATTCTTTGTTTTTGATACGAACATTTTGTGGACGATACTTCTGTACCTCCGGAAAAAATAATGCACTTTTGTGTCAAGTATTTTTATGGCGTGGCATTACTACTGTTCTATCTGAAGAGTCTAAATACTTATGGACAGTATGTGTGATGTACCTCTACACTAGTGGAGTTAGCTTGGATTTCACAGGACTAGGAGAACACGAGCCCCCTCTCGTGTGGTTGTCTTTGATGTGAATAGTCTTGGGCTCATCTTGGTTCTAGGGGAGCACCGGTATCGAATATTAGTCCGATAGAGACTCAAATATCTGGGTTGGTTATTTATTTGAATTTTGAATTCCTTATTAAGTTTTGGCCAATTTGTTGCTGCATCAAAAAGTTTCTTCTTAAATTGTAATTCCTGATCATTCTTTTTTCCAAGTTGCCGGAACACGAATTGTAACAAAGTTTTACAATGTTGCATTTTAACAAATGTAACAACAATTTGTTACATTTTGTTTGAAAGCGACGTTTAAAGCCTGATGTTTCCTTACACATGGAAGGAATGACCCCAGTCTCTTCAACATAGTGAGACATACAGACGGTTAATTAAACTCTTGTATCACGTCGGTGCTCCGTATCGATATCGGGACTGAAAAAGTCCGATCGACCCATCGCTACTTGGTTCCAATCGCCGTTTAACGAAACCTTTAATTGATTGACTTTAACGAAATGCAGATATTTTGTAGAAAGTTATTTTTTAAACCCTTTAAAAGAACATTAGATTAATTGATTTCTCAACACCTGCAGGGCCATAAAGAGCTGCTTTAAAGTGAGTTTACATCCCATCAGAACTTTTGCTAAATGGGAAGCATTTAAAAAGCCATATCTCCCACGCACCACACGGGACAATAGCGTCTGTAATGCATCTCTCCTTCATTCGGATTTCTCCAGACGTGTTTGAACAGTCTGGTGGTTCACTGGTCGTGGTTTGGTCACGACGAAATGACAGGGTGAGGCAGTCTGGAGGGGGGGTGGGGTGGGGTAACATCCATCAGCCGTGATGTAGCTCCGCGTTTTAATGTAGTGGAAGTTAAATACACGTATAGTGACTTATCACCCTCCGTCACAATGCACACGCTGTGTCTGTCGGTGTGAAGCGAGGCTGGTCCGACATCGCTTCAGATTAAGTTTTCTGCAAAAAAAAAAAAATCGGGTATAGAAGCTCAACCAGGAAGAGCTCACACACACGCGCGCGCGCACACACTCACACGGCGCCACCGACCGTCCTCTCTCCACTCCTCCTCAGCTCTCCCAGTTTACGGAGCTCTGCCATCGCACCAGTCCGGCGGCTTCCTCCCCAACCTCTCTCCCCCTCCCACCACCACCACCACCACCACCTCCTCTCTCGCTTCACCCGCAGATTTGTTCGACGGTTCCCGGCTGTTGGCAGGAGGACGCGTGCGTCGGCGAGCCGTAAGTTACCAGCTCGATTGTTTGTTGCTATTTCAACGCCTGAATGTTTGAAGTTGCTCCGACCGCTCAGCCGTCCAGAGAAGAAGGAGCGCAGAAAACGCTTTTTTTTTTTTTTTTCTTTTTTTTTTTTTTTTTTTCCGGCTTCGTGCACCAGAAGCGGTAGCACACGGGGTGGGTGTGGGGGGGCTGCTATACGTGCCATACGTGCCATATCCTCCCTAGGACCGGGATCAGAGCAGCCACCGTGTCGGTATTAAGGAATCCGGTTATAAAATGTGATCAAGAGGTGGTGACTGCCCTTTATTTTGCTTGGTGTGTTCGGGTAGCCCCCCCCTTCCTCTATCCAGCCCATATTTAGAGCCTGGCTGTCTACTTCAGATGAGAAAGCTACGTCAAGCCGTACTGTATCCCATCCTACTGTGTTGCTCAGCCGCTGTATACATCTATATATATATTTATTTATATGTACGCATGCAGCATAAATGTATGCATTAAGTGTGCATGTATGCAAACCTCCCTCCACATCTCGGATGGTGTTCAAGCTCAAGGCTGTGGTGCAAGTCTGAGAAGAAAAACAACAACAAACCAGACAGTGACCAGAATGTTTGGCATGCCTGGAGTCCTTTTTATCTCTTCTTGATAAAACTCAACATGCCAGAGCTTCGTAGCTGCTCGTCACCAGCTGTGATGTGAAGACATGTAAAATAAAAACAAAAAAAGCCGTCTCAATCCGATCCCAGCGGGGTTAGCAGCTGGTTTGTCTTCACCTGGCTCTCACCTGAAAGTTGAAAGGAGACATTTTAAACCCCAGCAGGTCGAGGTGTGTTAATTACAGGTGTGATATTGTCTGATGAGGGGGTTGTGGCTGTAGCATGTGATCTGGTGTATTGCATCTGTTAATTGGTTGGATAACGTAGATTAATTGTGACGCTTTACAGTTGAGCCAATTCTCTACTTCCGACGTCTTTATTATGAATTATGAGCAGATCTAACTACATTTTTCCTTCTTAAATTCGTCTTATTTGAAGAAGTTGAGAGACTTGAAATCCACAAATTAGGGACTGTATGAAAATGATTAGAAAATCCATCTTGTCAGACATCAAGTAACGTGTTTAAGTAGCTACTAGCAGCTGTGGGCGTGGGTGAGGTGTGTGTGTGTGTGTGAGAGTTCAAAACAAACATGGCGTCTCCTGAAGAGGTTAGCGTAGCATCAGTTTTCATCAGAACTGACACTGAAGGCTTTTCTAGATGAAACATTTCTTTTGGTCTCCTGACTCTCTTCGGCAAGAGTTTGATTGACAGACGGTTCATCCAATCACCTGTGCCCGCCCTTTATCTAAACTGTTTTCAATTACGGCTTCTCAGATGGTTCTGTGTACCAAACCATCTGGCGGGTCGGGTTAGGAGGTATTGGTCAGGAAATCGGGAAGTAATTTGAACTTTTTCACATTTCAGGAATATATATAATTCATTCATTCTGCGGCAAAAATGTTGCCGCACCAACAGAAATGGAGACTTGTCTGTATATGTTTCACTGTATTGCTGTGTTGTTATGGTACACGGTCTCACGGAGAGGGTCCAAAGAAATACGTTTGACTTTCTCAGTCATTTTGAGAAAAGAGTTTATAGATATAGTGTAGTTTATAAATGAATGAATGTCTTTTTTAACAATTCACATTCATCACTGCTCTATAAACACAATAAAACATAGCTACAACCACAATTAATCATGTCTTCAGTAGTTTATCTCTCTATCTATCTATCTCTATCTCACAAACAGTTTTTAAACTGCTGCACATGTTAATAAATAATTAAAGGGGCAGTCCACCCCATAATCAAAATGCATATGTTCCCTCTTACCTGTAATGCTGTTTATCAATGTCGATAGTTTTGGTTTGAGTTGTTTTGGAGATAATGTCGAGATGTCTGCCTTCTCTTGAAACTATTAAGACAACAAGAAATGGGAAGGGAAATGGGAACTGTTTTTCTTTCAACCATAGTTCCTCCATGAAACTGCTCACAACAACGTCTGTGGATTATCTTGAATAATCGGGTCATGCTTTTTGGAAAGATATTTCTGTTGAGTCTTTCAACTGAGCCGAGTGTCACATAGTCCCATTATATCGGAGGGAAGGCAGACATCTCTACGGGCGATCTCTCCCAAAATGGGCAACTCACCAACAAAGTGACTCTTAACTTGTGTGTGCTATTCACCTCTATGTTTAAACGTATGCTGTGTGTCAGTTTGATCTCTTATCACCGCTGTATTGTTATACATTTGGTGCTGTGACATTAGTTGCTTTTTCTGCTGTGTTGGATTGTATTTATTGTTTTAATGAACTATTATAATTGATGGGTTTATAGCTGATTTGGGAGCCAGTGCACGCTACTTTGTGTTGGACTGAAGCATTTCTAATTTGTTTTGATGGTTTGCTTTATAACTGCAGCTTCACGAAGATGAATGGCGTCTGTAGATCAGTCAGTTTATGTGCCTGGATTCTGTGTGATCGTCTGGGCCGCTGTTTTACACACATCTCCTCCAGAGTCTTGGAAGTCTTATCATTAAAAAATAAAATAAAATGAAGAAGCATCCCGGTGTGCTCGGTGTTTGATGCTCTGAAAGGAGCTGATGGTTGGTTTTCTGGCCAATTAGAGACGGAGCGCAGGGTCATTGATCTTCCCGTAAATGTGAGATTACTTCCTGAGCATCACGTGGCCTCGCTGTGTTTGAAGAGCCAAATTGCCGGCCAGAACGCTGCCACATGAGATAACATCTCGTAGGTTGTTCCCTCCAGTGTTTCCCCACCTACACTTCTCAGACGTGACCCCAAAAAACGGCTGGTGGAAAATTATCTTTGTGGTTTAAAAAGAGTCTGTATGAAAAGCCCTGCATCGAGGTTATTGGTTAGATGTGAGAGTTGTTTCAAATCAACATACAGAGACTTCGGTTATTGAGGTAGTTTAAAGCCTTCATCTGTCATATTCTGGACTTCAGAGTATAAGTATCTCACTCTGGTTTTGGAATTTTAGTCTCAGCAGGCGAGGTCACACCGCAAAACGGATTACATGTTGTTTGAGAAGCACAGCCGAGAGTTACCCGTCCTCATAACGGGACAAACACCTCCCGATGTTGTCTTTCATTAACATGCTCCCGAGTTGTTCCATAGCTTTCTGTTGTTTTAAAGGTATTCAAACTTTCTGAGGTGGAGATATGATGAAGAAATTATATTAAATCCTGTTATTTCTCCTTTGGGAAACGCTGTAGAGTTGTAGTTCAGGAAGTCTTCATCTTCATGAACCCTGGAGCTACACTCGTATTTGCTCCGGCCCTGGATCAGTCTCGATATTTCGGTCTTGGACCGCCTTCACGCTGCACAAGCACAGTCAGACGAAATCCAACATGTTTGAGAAATCTTGTCGGGCTGCGACTGTTTGCGAGTCGTCAGCTGGGCCAAAGATCTCCAGCCTTGAATGAGTTCAGGTGACGGAGGAATCTGCATGAAGCATCCGGCCCTCGGAGCGTCACGCAGACGAGCTAGTCTGAACAGAAGCCGGTAATTGTTGAAGCACAGCTTCATGCAGAGTGAAACGGCTTACTGTGATCAGACTCATAGCTATGAAATAATGATGACACCTGAGGCAATTTAATTTAATGCACCGGTCAATGTTATGATTTTGCATCCATGTCATGTCTTCTTTCAGACTAGTGGAAAGACAACATCCAAAATACACATTTAGGTGTTTATTCTATTACTTTGCCTGCAGATTTCTACCAAAGTTACCATTAGATCATTTGTATATTTATAAAAAACATTTCAGAAACTTTTCATACAAAAAAGAATCGTCTTAATTTAAGTAATCAACCGGGGAAGTTTCATGGTGACATCTATTAGTTAATTTCTTTACTGTGTTCAGCTGTAGTGTCTTACAAACTTATCTTTAAAGGCTGTTTTATTTCACTTCTGAGCCAGAATCTCTACTTGAGAAGCTCTTGCATGCAGCAAACCTTCCAGTTTCATTCCTCTCTTTATTCTGAAGGTTTCTCCACAGAGGGGTTTGTTCACATATCATTCATAACCTGATTTATATTTTATTGCTAAAAACAAGGGGTGAAAATAGATTTTTGTAATGGCTGCTGGCAGTATTTTCTGATACAAGGAGTGATACAAAGAGATATCCAAAATGTCCTGCCTATTTGGTCACAGTTGGGGAGCAGCCACAGAATTCGCCTGAAACTAACTTTTAAATCCCCACACACACACACACACACACACACCCCCCCCCCCCCCACACACACACAGCAATTTTTTACACACAATTTAGTTGGGGAAAAAACCACCCGTTTACACTTGTGCTAACAAGAATGTGTTCAGTGAGAGAAATATTAATTTAGTGTGTAGTTCCTCTTTAAGTGGGGATTTCATTAAGCGATTCTAGCTAATTATGGGATGTAATGGGGTAGAACAAGAAGCTATTGTGAGTTGCAAAAGAAACCCTCCGTTCAGTTTACAAAAGGAAAGTTGAACGGCGGAAAATGTATAATTGTATTTGCTGTGGGGAGTTCTTCTTTGTGGTGCAGATTCTACTGTGTGTACTGTTTTTAAATGCGGGTCTTTAACCATCTTATTAGGCAGACAATAAATCTTTATGACCCACGCCCCGGTATAAAATGAGATTACCATTCCCTAAAGACACGAGTAAAGTCGTGATCTGTATACGGGCATTATTTAAAGGTAAACATAAACACGAGGCATTCATTGGCTGTTTATGTTCTAATTTAACAATGAGCTACGGGAGCGTGTTTCTTTACGAATACTCCCAAGCTAATTGTTCGTTGCCATTTGAGTTTAATTGCTAAATGATTTCATAACGAGCTCAGGGAGTATTCACGGTATGTTTCGTGAGATGTATGCATAACGTCCCCCTTCTCTACGTGATCTCAACATTCAGATATTCATGTTCAACAGTAATCACACCTTCCCGTTCAGCCGGCTTGTTTATTTCTCTTATTTCCCTCAGTTGAACTTTGTTAGTAAGGCGCTTTTTGACATTTTCTATTCAGCCTAAACAATTGGCTCTAACAAGCTGCTATTTGCATGCTGTGTGCACACGAGGTGATAAGGCAGTGAATGAATGACAGAGTGCATCAGTTTCCTCCATGCTACATAAAACACACACACACGCACACACCCGTTATGAATAGCTGAGAGCTCGCCGAACGATCGGATCAATTCACGAAACCATTGGTCTGAATGTACTCCTCATTAAACTTCTATGTGTTTGCTTCAGATGTTGCTGTTGTGTTTGTTTCTAAAACAAAGGCTTACGTAAGATGGTCTATCTTTGTTATGCTCGCATCTCGTTGGTTCTCGCTTGCTTTTCATTTTCTTTGTGCCTCAGAACCTTCCAAACCACAGAAGCAGCTTTGTCTAGTTTATCATCACTCCAAACCTTTTTTTTTTTTTTTTTCATTTTCATGATAATGTTCCCTGCTTGGTCCATAATGCACCTTTTACCCTGACCATCACTCCTGTTCTGAAACAGCCAGAGCTGTGGTGCCTGCTGGTCTTAAACATTGTCTGTGTGATTATAAGGAACTAAAGCTGTAAAGATGTTACGAGATGTTTCTGAACCAGCTCTCTATGGATCTAATTAAACGCTTTGTTTGTAAGTAACTGTATTGTGATGAACATTGTAAGCACACAGTGAAACTGGGACAAACATAAGTTTTGGCTACTTGTCGGTCTCTTATCTCCAGGCCCCGTGGAGAAGCATGTGATGACTCACGTAAGACAGAAGGGTTCCCTCAGGCCGAGCGACGGCACGGCCGAGTGGTGGGACAGCTGCCCTCTTTGGCCACATGGTGGCGCTATGGGCGACACCTGGCCTGAGCGCTCACTCCGATTCGGGAGGACAAAGAAGATAAGTGAGGTCATCAAGCAAAGGAAAGTCATGGCCAAGACGGTGAACGACAAAAAGGGGAGGACAGAAAAATCGGACCAGAACAGAAAACTAGACCGGAGGCGTGACAAGAAACGGGACAGGAAGTCGTATCCGTTGCGCGGGCGGGCTGCGGGTTCAGATGGGGAGGGGCTCAGCTGTCACGTCCTCCTCACTCGATTGGAGGAGAGCATCCGAGCGCAGGAGGGTTCTGGAGAGAGGGTGCGAAGAGATGCGTGTCACAAACCCAAACCCAAATCCAAAAAGTTGAAAGGCATCGAAAGAAAAGGGGCAAAGTCGTTACCAAAAACCAAATCAAAGTCAAACAGCCCAAGTCCTGGCGAGTGCATTAATGTCCCGCAACCTCGCAAGCGTAGGCTGGCCTCTCTCAATGCGGAGGCAGTGAACAGTCTACTGCTTGAAAGAGCTAATGAGTCTCAGACGGCAGCTAAGCAGGCCAGGAGACAGGAGGAGCCCACCAACGGAGGGATGTCCCTGGATGCAAATCCAGCCAGGAGTGGTGTCCCCCGAGGTCTGAAGGCCACACGAGGAAACGTCAGTAAAGTAAAGTCTCACAAACTCAAACGGTGCCAAAGCTCCAAGCAGGTCAAGAAGGCCAAAGCCAACCGAGCAGAGATGAGTCAGGAGAGTCTGGACGCCCCCGCCCCCAGACGGTTGGCTGGACTCAACGCTGCAGCCCTGCTGAAGTTAACCAGCTCCTCTGCTACCAGTAAACAGAGAGTAAAGAATGTGCCCACAGCTACTATCACATCAGACTGCAAGGCTCCCGCCGCGGCCTCGACCCCAAAACGGCACTCCAGGGTCAAACACAAGGGGCGCTCACAAAAGCAGAGTGGGAGAAAGGAGGCTCCCCTGCACAGCGGCTGCACGGCCTGCAAGAAGAAGGCCGACTTTGAGCCCAAAGTGGAGTGGGACACCGGCAGCTGCACCCGTCGACTGACCAAACCGGGCTACCAGTCTCGCAGCATGCTAGCGTACCCGCTGAAGCAAGTGAAGGAAGAGCAGCTGGAGACCGAACTGAGCCCGTACTACTGCTGCCCCCCAGAGGGCTCGGTGGAATACTGCCACCGCTTGGCCTTCTTCCTGGGCCAGCAGCCCTACGGGGGATCGGACGACCCGCCGCTCAACTCGGCCATGTCCCCCGTGAAGCGCGAGTGCCTCGTAACCTCACCGCCCCTGACGCATTCCCACCCGCACACAGCCCTCACCCTCAGCCCCCACCCCTGCCTCTGCACCGCCGACCACTGCTTCTCCAGCTACTACGTCCACATCGCCCACCCGACACACACTGGAACGACGTCGGCGAACCTGGCCTCACAACCTCTCAACTTTGCCCCGTCCGGTTTATGCCCCAATCGGATGACCGGCTCCAAGCTGCTGGGGCCGCGGGTGTCCCACGGCTCGAGGCTGCCCCACCCCGCTTACTGCAACTCGGTGGCCTCGCCCTGTTACGGGGACGCCTGCGGGATGGGCGGCTACACCTACAGAGCCATGCCTCCCGTCACCAGCAGGGGCTGTTCCTTCAGTACAGGATGCACTGGATGCACACACGGCATCAAAACAGGTGAGTGGAAAATGGAGATCGATGTAGCATTTCAGTTACTGGAGGAAATAAGTAAATGAAGCACGTTAAACAAGTAACACTGTGACTGCCTAAACAACCACATTTAGCATCGCTGATGGCAAATTCACTATTATTATGTCACTTCTATGATTCATCCTCTTAAACCCTCTTTGTGTAGCTCTTATTACTAAAAGAAACGCATATCTCAGAGATGTGACTTAAAGAACTGAAGAGTCTTTTGTTGTTTGCCTCAGGCTAGTTGTGTTGCCCAACAAGTGTGAAGATTTCTGTTTTCTTTTGTTGGTATGAGCTTTGAAAGTGCCCAAAGCTTGAGGCTGTGACTTAGATATTCCTTGATAAGGAGCTCTTGGCTCATATGTAATGTTTTGCGTAACAGTTGTGTGTGTGTATAAATATAAAGCTGGACTGATGAATAAGATGAAAGAAGCATGCTGTTCTTAAGCTGATTTACACAGGGACCATGCTTGCTAATTTTATGTAACGTTTGCGTAACAACAGCAACTGTGACCTAAAGTTTGATAACATTAAATATCTCGGGAGTGCCTTGAGAGAATTTCTTCATATTTCGTCGACTTAAACTCAAGGATGAAGTTTGGTGGTCAAAGTTCACTGTGACCTCACATGCTCAGAGAGAGATTGTGTTATTTAGTCTTTCAAAAGTGACATCGTCTCGCTTTACGTGCACATTTCACCTCTTTTGTTTTCTTGCTTTTCTTCTCCCTTTTACTTTTCCAGAGGGTTACTCCTCCCCTCAGGGTGACCACAGCCCCTCCATGCTGGTCCCCCCCTCCCTGCCCATATCCAGCTGCCCTCTCTCCAGCGTGCCCTCCTCCACCCAGACTCAACCCCACCCGCTGACCCCGCTGTCGGGGCGAGACCAGCCCCAGGCCCGTCTAAAGCTGGCCACCGAGTGCCCTCGGAGCAACGAGCTCGCCACCGGCTCCCTGTCCATGGGCCGCACGCGGCTGCCCCAGAAACAGCCGTCGCCCCTGCCAAGCCTCAGCAGCGCCAAACAAAGGAGAGTCGGCCGCAGACGGGCCACCAACGGTTGGAGGCCTGTTGGAATGCCAACGGAGAGGGATGTCTTTATTGCGGTAGGTTGTTTGTGAGCACGTCTCTGAGTAGAGAGGATGAGCGAGAGATTAGAGAACTTCTCTCTCTCTCTCTCTAGTGAGGCTTTTCGTTTCTCCTGTATCCCACTACCTGATGATACCGAAACCGTAGCTGCTACGAGCTGCAGCTCGAGGGTGAGGGGGGAGATAATTGTGTTTTGGCCACACAGCTTCGTGTGACAGATCCGTTTTTGTCTCTTATAATGAGAATTATATCTGTCCCTGTCGTTGTGTGTGCGTGCATGCGTTGGTGTCTGTCGCAGGGAGAGGATGAGACGGCCCCGCGGCAGTGTTATGAAGGAGTGGAGAGGGACGGGGAAGTGATACACGTCAGAGACACTGTGCTGCTTCGATCGGGCCCCAGGAAGAAATCCCTCCCATACGTTGCCAAGATATCAGCGCTGTGGGAGGACCCCAAAACAGGTAAAGGAGACGAGGAGGGGCGAGATCACGGAGAGATATGGCGGACGGACGGACGAAGAAATGGCCAAGATTATTTACCTCTACTTGTGTGTGTGTGTGTGTGTGTCAACCGTCCTCCTCAGGAGAGCTGATGATGAGTCTTTTCTGGTACTACCGACCTGAGCACACACAGGGAGGCCGGGATCCCAGCGCACACTGTGAGGTGAGGCTCGATTTAATGTTGCCCAGTCGTCAAGAGTTCAAAGCAAATAACTGAAGTAAATGAACACGTGACGTGGAGATGTGTGCAATTAATGGAAAATATGAATGATTAACACAAATCATATGAGTACATATACAGAGGAAATATATAATATAACCATGAAAGTGTGAAGTTATCCAATAAAATGTTATTTCATGCTGCTTTTTTTTTTTTTTTTTTTTTTTACAATAGCAGATTTTTATTGAAGGTTATTTTGTATTTCACTCCAGACCGTTGCTGCAGTGTGCACGAGGAAATAAGACACCATGTGAAATATAACAACTGCTGGAATTAACTAGAAATGACCTGCAATAAACTCTTCTATTGTGGAAAAACCAGAACGGGCGGGAGAGAATCTATTTGCTTAGTTAAAACTACTTTACAGGGTCATTCATTCGATTCCTCCACAGAATCTGTCCTTAAGGGCTTTCCATGTTTGACCCACTTGGTCCAGAATTTAATGAGCACATTTTTCTGAAGATGAAGAAAAGACAGAAAATGTCATCAACTATATTTATCCACTCCTGTACTGCCGGGTGTCTTAAGTAGTTTTTACAAGCAAATATTAAAATGTCAAACATTCATCCATCAGGACACCTCATCTGAAAATCAACATTTCCCAAAAAAACAACTGGGAGCTGAGCTTCAACAATTTACTTGATTATTTCAAATTGTCATGTTTTTTTGTACATATTTTGACTGTATATATATATATTCATATGATTTCTCATTTCATGTCACAAACGAAGGGCCGACTAAGGACATTTATCGTTGGCGCTGCTTGTATAATGTTCTACAAACAATTTGAAGTTACACAAAGTGAACTTCCTATAACGATTGTGAAAGACGGACAGAAAAGAGATTAAATTCTTCATCACTTGTTAATAATATCTTCTCTTTGTGCAGGTTTAACAGACATATCTGATGTTTGAATGTGGGAGGAAAGATTATTTCCTTTCACATATTTATTGTTTTTTCGCTATAATAGACATTTTGCAATTATCAATTCATTCATTACAGGCGATGATGCATAAGAAAATAATGAACAAGCTGTCTCTGCTGCTGGAGATGTTATTATCTTTCCCTCAGCAGCCCTGAAACTGTGGAATGCACTTCAGTGTAACCACAATGATGATATCTCCTGCCACCTCAGTCTAACACAGAGAGTAAGAGAGGAGAAGCAATTTCACTTTTGGAAAGTGAAATACCACAGCCCGTGTTGAGGAGAGCAAGGTTTTTGTAATGTAAGGTGGAAACATGCAGAGGCACCGTCCTATCGCACGGGAACAATCGGGGTCTCCGCTGTGCGCACGGTTCAAACGTGCTGTCGTTTCTTCCGCCCCTCAGCCAGCAGCATGGGAGGCACTTTTGTTGATGTGACATTGTACACCCACTGTTGGTTTCAGAATGAGATTTTCGCTTCTCGGCATCAGGATGAAAATAGTGTGGCCTGCATAGAAGACAGATGCTACGTTCTCCCACTAGCCCAGTACTGTAGGTAAGTACAGAAACAGCAACACACCCCAGCAATAGACGTATTTTTTAAACGGGTTTGAAATCGTTGCTTTTCATTAACGCCTCAGCTTCTGCGACAGTTGGAAGGCTGTTATTCTGACTTTCTTACCGCACATCTGTGACACTGTAACTGTTAATGAATCGAGGGAAACACCAGGCTGTGAACATTTGCTTGGAAATCAATTGGAAAATATCTGTTTGGAGTTCAGTTGCTCGTTATTTTTCAAATAAAGCCACAGAAACATGGAAGACATATTTGATTTCTGTGCCCTTTTGATTATTATTCTTTTTTTTTTTCTTTTTTTAGATTTTGTGCCTTGGTGAAGCGGCGCGCCGAAGGCGCCCCACCCGGCAGCACCAGCGTGGTGCCCTGCTGTCCCGACTTCGCCCCCCCTTCCCACCGCTGTGTGCCCACAGACGTCGACCCCGAGCTGGTGTATCTCTGCCGGCACGTCTACGACTTCCGCTTTGGACGCATCCTGAAGAACCTGCAGTAGAGGAGCAGACGGGGTCTGAATTAATCATGACGTAGCTCCCCCTCCTGCACAGAGGGTAGTGGCAAGGCGGGCTGCTGCAGGACTAGACACCCCTGTCTTTTATGCTGGGGATGGTAATGAGTTATCAGAGTGAAGGGGGGGGCTGGTTTTGGAGATGAAGCAAAAAGAGTTTGACACATTATGAAGCACAGATCCCTTTAGTTGACTACAAAGGGGTTACAATGTGATAGATGAATCATCCTCAATAAGAGCACCAATATTTCCTGGTTTGGATGAGCGATGGAGGGAGAATTCATTCATCAGCTGGGATTTTTTTCAGCACTCTGAGCTCACATGGAGGCTTGTGTGCGTTTCCCCCCCCCCCCCCCCCCCCCTCCCCCACCCCCACCCCCCTTTGCCTTCTCGCCTGCCAGTAATGCTGAACACCAGGCTGGACTGTGCCACTGTCAGGACCGCGTTTCCCCCAAAAGCGTCTTAGCGCAACAATCATGTTTGTTCCATTTGTACGCCAATGGCTCAGGAATGGTCCGGCGCTGAGGAGCTTCTGGGGGGGGGGGAATGCGCGCCTGCGCTGTCAGCTCGAAGTTAAACGGTGTTCAACCAGCCGGCCTGAAGGAGCAGCTAACGGAGAGTGGCGTCGTCTCGTTTGTCCTGATTTGAGCTCGTCTCAGGTGTGTGTGTGTGTGGGAGAAACGAGTGTTGTCGGTGCGGATAACTGGATAAATGTGGGTATGAGTGATGGTTTCCCCCCCCCCTTTTTGTTTTTTTTTTTTTGTTTTTTAAAAGGAGGCTTTCAGGCAATCAAACCAAACAAGCAGCTTTAGACGAAGCGGCGCTCTCTTTGCCCGTCGTCTCTCCTGTGTGCCACAGCGCACTGACACTGACAGAAACATTTTCATCTCGAGTGATGCTCTGAGCAAACTAAAATACCGTACCTGAAGGGGGTTTGTGAGGCAGATTATTCCTGACCCAACTCCGCTCTAGAGCGGGGCTTCTGCTACTTTGGTCAGGACACTAAAAATGGCTCCAAACTGATTTTATTATTGAAAACACATTTTGGAACGAACATTTATCTCGGCCACAGTCCTCGTGCTAGAGAGGCTCTTCTAACGGCCCCACAGAGAAGGCTGATTTATTTTTTCCTCGTATTTCTTTCACCTGAGCTGCTCCCTGTGACTTGCCTTATGACTTGCAGGTCGAGCTTTCGGCAGCTAGTGTCACAACGTACAACTAGGAGGTGGTAGGACAGGTGCACTGTAATCCCAAGAGAAGGATCAGCTGACAGCTATGACACGATCACTGGACAAATTGCACCGGTTTAGGGCTGCAACTAATGATTGATTTCAACCAACAGTCCCCAAAGATATTCAGGTAATTTACATGCATGACAAGGAAAAGCATCAAATCTTCACATTTGACGAGCTAAGCAATGTTTGGCATTTTAAAGGAACGGTGTGTAGCATTCAGGGGGATCTATTATTATCTGATAAATATGTTTCCTTTAGTTCAGATTCACCTGAAAACACACCAGAACAGGACAAACTAGATTCAGTTGGTTGCAATCTGCAACTAGATGCCTCCGAATCCTACACACTCCACCTTTTTCAGAAATTATTAAAATGATTATCAATATATTTGCAGCTCTAAACTGGTTAGAAACACTGTGCACTTCTCACGTCATCGATCTGCTGTGCTCGAGCTGCTCGTATTGCGTTAATGTCTACTCTACCCGCTCTAACTCTACACCCACACCTATTATTTTCTCCCCCCCCCCCCCCCCCGGAGATAAACCAAAGGATGTCACACAAGCCAGAGTCCCCGTCTACTCCCTCGCACTTCTCCTCCTCGTCAGCACTTCTGCCCTCGTTCCCTTTATTGTATTGCACTAATTCATTCCTTAATTGCGCTTTCTTTTTTTTGTGTTCCAGCTACTAATATCCTACCAGGGGGAACATACTGTGTATCATTCATGTGTGTGTTGCATAGAGAAGGAAACAGTGAGGATGTCATGGCTGCTTTATTTTGTCTGTATATTTCTATTCTTTAACCAGTAGAGGAGTCGGCCAGCGTGTTCGTCATGTGACCTGATGCACAACCTGTTGAATCCCATGGAAGATACAGTGT